ACCACTCAAGCGATCACATTGAAATGATAAACATAAAGCCATTACAGATGGCTCACACAACAGGTTGCAAGTAGAACAGGAGAATGTTGTGTACAAGTTAACAGTCAGATTTAATATTCTTAAATTAAATGCTGCCTTGAAGTATAGAAGCAAAACGTCTTAAAATTGTATCTAAACCAATATAGAATGTTCTGGGGTCTGTCATAGTGAGTATTTTATCTTCTCCGTACTTGATCAGAGACCGTATTTCTGATGTCTGTACTAGAAAGTCAGGAGGTGAGAAGCTTACTTTGAACTTGTCAAATATTTATTTAGAAAAAAATTAAAAGCAAACTGTAATGACAGAGAAACAGGCAAATGAGGAGAACACCCATCCATCCTTTCAGGGTCATGTAGGAGACAGGGCCTATTTTGGCAAGCAATGGGTGCAAAGCAGGATACACCCTGGATGGGATGCCAGTCAATCACAGGGCAGACACAGACACGCACACACTCACACCAGGGCCAGTTTTTCCAGAAGCCAGTTAATCTACCAGTATATGTTTTTGGAGTGTGGGAGGAAACCCACACGAAGACCGGGAGAACACATAAACTCCTTGCAGACAGCACCTCAGGTTCGGAAATGAACCCAGAAACACAGAACCGCAAGGCAACAACACTAACCCCTGCGCCACCATGCTGCCTTCAAAAGAACGTATTGAAGGGAAAACATTAGAAATGAGAAGCCATTTGACCCATTGGGTTCATTTGGCTGCTTGGAGGCTCTCATCCATCTGCTTCTTAAATGTTGCCAGGGAATCAGCTTCAACAACGTGACATGACAGCTTGTTCTAGACACCCAGCACCCAAATCCCTGCTACTGTTTCTGGAAAAAAAGGGCTGCAATATCCATTAATTTGGCAAGGTGTATACAAACCATACACGTGAAACTAACTGGGTTATTAGAGGATATTAACACTAATGGGGGTTACAATGTCACCAATGAAACCTTAAAATAGAGTAACAGTTGGTACAAGCTGAGGAATCAGCATCTGCGAGAATGAAAGGAGTCTTTCACATAACCTGTATTATAAAGTTTTATACACGGGACCTAATTGCATGTAAAACTGTATACCACCACCTGCCAAGGAATACATAAATCAATCCATTAATCATTCCTACTAATTAAACCGAATCAGAGTGAATCCAGTGATTGTTTAATGCAGCACTAAAGCTTTGCCGTAGACGTTTATTTTAAGGGAACACTCAACTTTTTTTATTCTAGAAGAGAGAGGTTTGACTTTGGGGTCCTGTGCGAAGGTGCCCACCAAAGAGAATATTAGGTCAACGGGTCCTCTTGCGAAACGCACTGTTCCAGCTCCCTTGGCACATTCCTCTTTCTTGAAAGTGGAAGAGAGGTCGCACAGCCCCTCGCCACCTCCTGCCCTGCTAAAGCAGCGGAGGTCCCAGCAAATTCCAAAATTGGCAAGGCTCCTCTGCCCAAGGTCGCGTCTGCTGTTTCTAAAAATATCCCGGGACAGCAGCGTGGGCGGAGCACTTTGTTTTCGGAGCGTTATCTTTAGACACACGCAGGCAGGAGCTGAGTTCTTGAAGATGTGTCAGAATGGAGGTTGGGGGATTCGTTTGATGTTGGCAGGACAGAAAATGTTTCACACCCCCTCTCTCTCTCTTTGTAATTTTCCTGAGATGAAGGTCCCTCAGGTTAGAGTTCTTAATCACCAGTGAAGGAACGTGATTTTACAACATCGCATTGTGCTATTATACCAAGTCAGGAAAATAAGCCAGCAACATGACACATTACAGTTTGCTGTTGTTTAAACTTGCAAGGGCTAAATGTTTTAGCTTTTTAATATTCACACCAACAATACAGGCGTACAAAGCTTTCCAAATATAAAAGTTTGCATATAAAACGTGCCCTTTGTACAATATATAATATACCTAAAAATGAATATACTTGTAATTAGATTTATAAATCACATAAAATATATGTCCTACATAAGCCAGTTGATCAATAATAAGCAGTTAATATGGTTGTGTCATTATGTGCGTCTTAATACTGGACTTTAATCAAAAGCTTTGGTTTGTTAACTCCCCAGATGTCTTCATTTGGTATCTTTATTACATTTGCATCTCAGCTAGACACTGGAATCGTGCATCACTGATTATTTTAAAAAAACATATTAATAACAATTCATATTATATCAAGTAATATTTCTGACAAATAAATGACACGTTGTCTTGTTCCACTGTAAATACCACATATTTACAACAATATTACAACTTAAAGGAAAACAAATGATGAGAATCTTCTGGCCTTTTACAAAGAAGACTGAGCCCCCCGCTTTGTGACCATTAGAAAACTGTGCGACAGCAGACCAAAGCAGTCCTATTTTCTTTTAGCTAACTGATGTTTAAATGTAAAAGCTTTCATTTTCAAAAACTATTTTCCGCTCAGAGTCCTTGGTTTTATTAATGTTCTGATACAGCTGTACAGCTTGCGAGGTGTCTAACCAACAGAGCTGTGTTCATTAGTCCTGGATTAATTGTTGTTTTCCAATGACTATATAAACCAACTCTTAATAGGCTACCAATGATGTATGCATGAAGGCTGGACATACACTGTGCAAAACACTACCATAATTAGCATTTTACGTTTTGCATGTCCTAAGTGAATAAATCCCAGATGTTTGTCCACTGAAACTATATACCTTAATAACAGGAATGATCTTAAACTGATTTCCATAGATTCAAATGGTTCAGTTTTGCTGATAACATATTATGTTATTAGTATACTTTTTGCCCTAGGAATATTTAAAGGTTTTAATATTTTGGCACTGTACATATATTGCGATATTTTAAGAAACTGCACCATCTTGGTGGTGATCCATTTTAAGGAGGACATAAACAACAAAGGCAGAACAAATTAGGCAGACCGTGTTCTCTTGGTACAATTCCCTGGGTGAAATTTCACATAAATAAACTGCGGCAGCCATAACATATTTCTCCCCCTTAGTCCCAGATTACAGTACCATGAGGACACCTTGGGTTTTTTATGCTTTTAGCCTGATGATCAAATGCATGAAT